GCGGGGCAAAGCCGAAAAACAAAACTGGCAGAGGAGCCCGAAATTATTTCACCGTCCTCCTACGTCGCAAGACAAATATTTTTTTTATCGTAAACCGTACACCACCAGAGATGTATGTACTTCAATCTACTTATGGCGCGTAATGTAAACGAGACAAATGCACACCGCGGTGAGGATAAAATTTATATAATTTCGATATACCTCAGCACTGCCATCGTGGTGCAAATTTGACGAGCGAGCTTAAAACGTCGAATGTTCCCTGCAGTCCGCAGACGGTTCTAGTCAAGAGGGAGCGCGAAGCTAAATTTTCTCGAGGACTCGTCTCTCTAGACGCGAAATAAGAAAAGCACTCTGCGTCGCGTGACCCTTTGATACGATTACTACCCGATATAAGTAGGTCCTGCGATAGGTTTCGTAAGCTTGTGTGGACTCACCATGACGTAGTGGCGCTGCATCTCCGTCTTCTCCTGGGCGAGTTTCTCCAGCTCCAACTTAATACTGGACAGAACAAGCAGGAAATCGCACGTGTAAGCTAAACATTAGTAAGTGCAGGCGACATTCAAAAGCTGTTGGGGCAAAATAAAGATAGGGTGGGGGGGGGAAGAGAGAGGGAGGGTCCCTCTCTTTCGCATGACCAGGGAGGAGTCTCGTGGCGCGTTTTCGCTAACAATAGAGAATAATAATGCCGCTGAAACGAGATTATCGAGCCGTCAACGAGTCGAGGGTCTGTGACTTGGGCTCCGAGTGGGTAAACGAGGGATGTGTGATATAATGTGCGGAATGCGTACATTGTTCAATCGTATAACGATTCATTAATTTGGTCCAGGATTTTTCCGCGCGTACATGTATATATATATATATATATTTTTTTTTTAACCTTCCGAACCGGTTCGTTCTTTTTATCACGCCCCCAAATTGAGGGATATTGCGGAGGGGTGGTGCACAGCCAAGCCATTAAAAACACACAATTAGTGCAGCCGCAACAAACATTGATAATAATTGTTATATACTGGCCATCGCGTGTGTATATGTATATGTGTTTTAGCATTGTGTGTGAGTTTCGTGTTTACCAAGTGGACCGTGGAGAATATTGGAAGCGTCGCGATTGCGAGCGAATAATTCATAAAAACGCATTCGTGGAATTTACATCGCGTTCAATTAACAAGGAAATCGTATGCAAATACAAACAATCGCAAACGCGTTAGGTAGGTACTACTTGTCGTTAAATATTAAATAACAAAACTGTTCATTATCGAGAACGATAAATTAATCATTTTATGGAAAAAAAAAAAAGAAAAAAAAACACGTAATCGTCAGAAAATGTGTTTTCGAGCACTTTGCCTCGTTCAAAAAGAAAGTTAATAGAAAATCAATACGAGAGAGAGAGAGAGACAGAGAGAGAATCGGCGCGGCAGTGCGCAGGTTCATTAAGAGTTAATCCTCGTCGCGTCGCGCTTTTCCCCGGCGCGTTAAAGCGCATATTAATATTCACTTGGTCGGTCCACCATGTTACCCGACATCAGAGAGCGGGACAAAGGCGCCCCGTCCGCGGTGGCGATAACTTTTTTAACGACGACAAGCCCGCGCCGTATTTTTGTTTAGCGCGGCGCGGCGCTTCGGGGATGCAGGAAAATAATCTTGCGGTGGCGGCGGTCGACAAAACCGCTTGTACCGCGGCAAATGAATGCGTTCGTATGCGCCTGTAACGCTCGAGTGCATCGCCGTTGCTGCTGCTGCTGCTGCTGCTGCCGCTGTTTCCGCTGCCGTTGCTCCATGACTGTATACCTACGATAACGAGTATGGGGATGCGTCGCATCGTGTCTCTCTGCGGTTCGTGTTTCTCCCCATGTTCCCAGCACTTTTGATGTGCGACGCCAATGCTCGTGACGATAATTTTCCTCGAGTTCTTTTCTCTCTCTCTCTCTCTCCCTCTCTCTCTACCGTTCATCCAATCTCTCTGAAATTATACCTCTGACATTTCTTTGAAGATCCGTGTACCATTTTCCTTTTAATTGCACTCCCACGTATAATATAAAAGCGTTACAGTCGCGCTGCCGCGCATATCGAAAATTCATTTCGGTAAAATCAAATCGGTTTTTTAATAATTTCCCTCCGTTTTTTTTCCCAGGTTCTTCTCAATTTCGCGAGAATTGAAACAGCTCGACCGCGACCAAGCGATATCTCCCGAATTCAAGCGCGACGAAAACGAATGCATTTTAATCTGGGAACAACGGCAGGATGATTCGTATATGGCCTTGTATGCATGTGCGTATATGTGACGTGTATGTACGAGTAATACGCGGTGCCCCCTTTCTACGTTTTTTTTATTCCTTTTCGCCGGCTTACCATCACGTAATGCCTCTGTATCTCTATTTTTTCACTGGCCAGTTTCTCGCACTCCAATTTAAGGCTGTGTAAGAAGAACAAGAACAGAGCATTAATATCCACCAGCCCTCGAAATCGTCGGAGCCATTGTCCCTCCGCTCGTCGTTCTTCGTCGCGACATTAAGTTGGAAACCCGCCGTATAACACGCGCCATATATATCGCGAATGGGAGAAAATAAAGGTAGAACTGTAAAAGCTTCAACGATAACGAACGGAGTAAAAATGGTTTATTTCGTCGTCATCGAGTTCAGCGCGGAGACGCAATAATAAAGTTACAGGTTCTCTGATACAACTAAACTTTCTTTTTTTTTTTTTTGGTTTTTTTTGGTTTTTTTTCCTTTTCAACGGGGAAATTTGGAAGTCTCGCGCAACGGGACGCGAAGCGATTTTAGTTCGATTTCGGTTCGAGAAAATGGTAGAATGCACGCGGTAATTCCGACGCGCGGCGTTTAATATTCGCGTGAAAGGCGAATCACGCTATCACCTTGCGCGGCGTAATCTCACCTATAAGGCGATAAATTAGCACGGTATTAACGATCATGCTCGCGCGAGCGGCAACTCTCGTTACGCAAACGGCAATACTCGTACGGTCAGAAAGTCGATTAATTATTTCAGATTGACGCCGCGCCAACGATTTACGGGACGATTTATCGAGAATCACGTTGCGCGCTTGAATGCGCGCGCCTACTAACACGTGGCCGAGATAGCTCACTGTTTCACGCGGTCGGCATGCATTTTTGCCTTTCCGTGATTAATATCTCAATTCACGAAATTTATGAATGTTGTTCTCATCGCGGTATTTCTAAACGCGAGATAAAATTTTATTCGCTTAAAACGCGCCCGATATCATCGCGTCATTATCGTAATTATTTTTCTCTTGTTGTCAGCACTTTGTGCTATTATGCTACATTTCACTTTCGTGAAAAAGGGGGAAGGGGAGAGGAATACCGAATGCTCTTTCTGCAATCCCGGAACGTTGTGAATTTGACGTATCGATAAATAGAGGCGTGAATTCACACTGAGAAAAAAGTTGTAGTAATGATAACAAAAAATTATTCGCACAAACAGATTATCAATTTTATTAAAATAGCAAATATTTTTGGTTAGATAAGCAAAATTATATGAATCTTTTGATTTAACAGTACAATTTTATTTGGTTTTTTTTTTACTCACGTTTTATAGATAATAATATAAAATGTTAGGTTGCAATTTTCAATTTTCTTTCAACAATTACAAAAAAATAATCTATTATGATAAAATGAAGAACGTTTCGCGGAGCTTTCAGAGATGGCGTGTCTTCTCGTGAGAGAAATTCGACATTCCTGTAAAAACAGGGGAGTTCGAGTACAAGTTTCGCCACATTTCTTTTTCAATGCAATTAATAATCGATCTGGATCTGTATCTCTTCAAGCCAGAACCGTTAAAAAAAAAACGCTAAATATAATTTCACTCTGTGTATAAAGAATAAGAGATGTATACTATTCCTATGTAATTATTTTGTTCAGGTAACAAAATATTCTATTCTTAACTACAAAACATGACTCCGAGCGTCAAAACAATTTTTATCATTAAATCATCAGTTTATTTAGTAAATTCAACAAATTATCTCCGTGATAACCAACAATTTATGAATGGTTATAAATCGAGAAAAAAATAAGTCCCTTGCAGTGCATAACGAAACTGTAGTTATTCGACATACCAAACATTTCTCTCAGTGCAGCGATCGAAGAAACTAGTCACGCGCCAGCGAGCTTTTCGCTTCCGAATCTGCCAAAGAGCGTGATCTCCGAGGAAGCCCTTTTTACTACCGCAGATACGTGCACGCATGCACATAGGTGCGCTATCCAAATGGGGGGTCTTCGCTCCTTCTCCAGACCAGTGTGCGTACTTCGGTGTACACAGCTTCCGGTTGGACAATCAATTATCTGCCTACGTCCGTACATCAGTTCGTGCGTTTCGCGTGCGCGCCCACGCGGTATTTGCACGAGCGCCTAATGGATACGGCCGCTATGGTGTCCACGGACGCGAACGTTTACTCCGTTCGACAAACTACTGACCGCTGAACGAAATTTACATCACGCTTAACTATCCGCGGGAAAGTATGTATTTTGTTTTTTTTTTTTTTTT